ATTTGTGACTTTTCCAAGTTTGCTTTTGTTACTGGTTTCTAATTTTAATTCATTGTTGTCAGGGAAGATACTTTGTGTAATTTCAGCCTTTAAAAGGGGCAAACTCATTTTACAGCTTAACAAATTTTTTTTTCTTTTTGACGGAACCGGGGATTGAACTCAGGCCCTTGTGCTTGCCAGGGAAGTACTTATTCCACTGAACCATCTTCCTGGCCCAACATATGGGTCTTTTTTGAAAACTGTTACGTGTATATACTTGAAAAAACTGTGATTTCTGCTGTTGTTGGGTGGTATGTTCTGTTGGTATGTTACCTCTAGTTGCATTACAGCTCTAGCTAAATTGTAACTTTTGTGATTTTCTTGCTGGCCTGCTGTTAAGTTTTTGAGTTATTGAAAGTGAGAGCAGAAAACAAAGTGAGAACTTCAAATCCCCAACTATTGTTGAGTTGCCCGTTTTTCCTTTTTTTTCCCCCCCCCGTATTTAGGACAGGGTCTACAGGGTCTCACTACGTAGATCAGACTCGTAGTGATTCTCCTGTTTTCAGCCTTGCAAGTGCTGGGATTACAGGCGTGTGCCAGTACGGCAGGCGGTGTATCGAAGCCTGGCCGCTGCACTCTGCCTAAGCAGGTGTTTTAGTCCGCTGAGCTATCAGGCTGGCCCTGTTTTTCCCTTTAATTGTATTAGATTTCCTTTTGTGATTTTACTTTACCTTTTGGCTGTAGTAGCTAAAATATTTTTACAAATGTTACTTCTAAAAATTTTTAGACAAGGTCTTACTGTGTAGGTCAGGCTGGCCTCAGATCCTCTTACTTCAGCCTCCCGAGTGCTAGGACTACAAGTGTGGGCACACCTGGCTATGATTGTTTCTAAAGATAGAGGTGGCAGGCATGGTGGTTTATGCCTGTAATCCCAGCACTCATAAGGCTGAGGCAGCAGGATCACTTGTGAGTTTGAGGCCAGCCTGAACTACATAGTGAGACTGTTAAAAAAAAAAAAAAAAAAGATTGA